GACACTATGAGAAACGGTGACTTGATCAGCATAGCCCTGACTGTTAAAGAACTTCCACTTTGACTATGACCTTGTCTAAATATGATCAGAGTCAGTGAACTCAAAAGGCTTCCATAGCCTTGGCAACTCATGACAAGAGCCTAGGGTGATTACTGAGGCCATAAACAAGAGTGTCAATTTGTTAAGTTAACAACCAGAGTCACTGTGCACTTACTCCTCATGTAGGATCTCTGTCCTTAATGTGCTGTACATTGTGATTTAATGCTATAACTAGTACTCAAACAGTATTTTTCACTTTGTGTTTCTATGTAGGTGCAAACTGTTGAAATCTTTAATTAATATATGATATATGGGATACTATTTTAAAAAACCCAACATATAGGTCTTAGGAGTACCTGAAGGTGTGAAAAGAGAGAATAGACTAGAAGGCCTTTTTAGTGAAATAATTACAGAAAACTTCCCCAATTTGGAGAAAGAAAGTGGACATCTAAATAGAGGAAGCACACAGAACTCCTAAGAGACATGATCAGAGAAAACCTTCACCACAACACATTATAGTCAAACTTCCCACAATAAAACATAAAGATTCTAAAATATGCATGAGAGATATGCCACATTACTTTCAGAGGATCTCCAATTAGACTCAGAGCTGACTTCTTATCAGAAACCATATAGGCTAGAAGGGAATGGAAAGATATAGTCCAAATCTTGAGAGAGAAAACTGTCAACCCAGAATATTGTACCCTGCAAAGATCTCATTTATGAATGAAAGTGAAATATAGACCTTCCACAACAAACAGAAATTGAAAGAACTTGTCGCCACCAGCCCAGCCTTACAAAAGATAGTTAAGGATGTGCTACACCAGAAAGACTGCCATCATTATGCAGGAATGTGAAGGCATAAAATCCTCCATTAAAAGTACAAAAAACGTCAAAGTAAATAATAGCAATATTTATGGAAAAATGGTGGGGCTAAGTTGTTACTTATCAATAGTCAGCTTGGATATAAATGGCCTCAACTCTCCAGTTAAATGATACAGACTGGATGAATGGATCAATAAACAAGACCCATCTATTTGCTGCCTACAAGAACATACCTCACCAACAAAGGTACACACAGACTCAAAGTAGAAAGATGGAAAAAGATATCCCTTAAAGGGCAGGTGTTGCCATCCTAACATCAGACAAAATAGATGTTAACATAAAAACTCATAAAAACTGTTAAAAGAGATGACGAAGGGCACTATGTAATGACTAAGAAATTAATTAATTATATGACTATAATAAATGTATATGCACCCAATTACAGAGTGCCTGGTTATTTAAAAGAAATGTTAATGGATGTAAAGAGAGACATAGACTCCAATACAACAATAACAGGTGACTTCAACACCCCACTTTCATCAATGCACAGATCAACTAGACAGAAGATCAACAAATAGAGCTAATCAGCACTATGAACCAAATGGACCTAACTGATATCTACAGAACTTTTCATCCCATAGTTGCAGAATACACATTCTTCTCATCAGTGCATAGACTTTTCTCTTGGATAGACCTTATGCTAGGCCATAAAGCAAGTCTCTCTCTCTCTCTTCCCCTCTATCTATAAAATGAGTTTTAAAAACTTTTAGAAAATATAGATAGATTTTCTGCATCTTAAAAAGTATTCCTGGAGCAGGTGCTGTGCATAGAAGGCTAAGCTTCTGCCTGCAGTGCCCGCATTCCATATAGGCGCCATTTAGAATCCTGGCTGCTCCTCTTCTGATCCAGCTCTCTGCTATGGCCTGGGAAAGCAGTAGAAGATGGCCCAAGTACTTGGGCCCCTGCATCAGCATGGGAGACCTGGAAGAAGCCCCTGGCTCTTGGCTTTGAATCAGCCCAACCCCAGCTGTTGGTATCATTGGGGAGTGAACCAGTGCATGGAAGAGCTTTCTTTCTGTCTCTCCCTGTTGCTGTGGATTTGTTCTGAGGAGGAGCATGGTGGGAGCAAGAGGCGTGGAGTCACCACACAGACACCAGGAGTCAGGTGAAAGCGGACCAGAGGAGCAGCCCGCAGACTGGTTTATTTCAGTTGGTGCAGCAGCTTATATAGCTGAGGCAGCCAATCCAGTCAAGGGGTGGTTTATGCCCTAACCAATCACAGCCTGTTGCCAGGCATGCTCCGTTTCCAGGTGGTTTTCCAGATGGTTTCCAAAGCCATTCCTGAGTAATTGACACTCGCTTGCCAGCAGCCATCTTGGCATGGCCTTCTCATTCCACCACATCTCCCTCTTTCTGTAACTCTACCTCTCAAATAAATTAAAAACTAAAAAAGAAAGTATTCCCTAATCCTGTCTTCCCATAAAATCATTGCTCTTATGTGTCTGTCCCTTCATCACTAATTTCCTGAAAAGTTGTCTACACTTACTATATATATATTTTTTTAAGATTTTTATTTATTTATTTAAAATGCAGAGTTACAGAATGGCAGACACAGAGTTTGAGAGAGAGAGAGAGAGAGAGAGAGAGAGAGAGAGAGAGGCGTCTTCCATCCACTGGTTCACTCCCGAAATAGCTGCAACTGCTGGAACTGGGCCAATCCAAAGGCAGGAGCCTGGAGTTTGAGTCTCTCACGTGGGTGTAGGGGCTCAAGAAGTCTGACCATCTTACACTGCTTTCCCAGGAGCATTAACAGGGAGCTGGATCAGAAGTGGAGCAGCCCGGACCCAAGCTGGGGTCCATATGGGATGCCAGCATTACAGGCAGAGGCTTTACCTGCGATGCCTCAGTGCTGGCCCCTACTTACTATATTTTTGAAAGCTCTTTTCTGTTCTCAAGATATTTGATTACATATTTCCAAGGGACCTTTGTGCAGTAATGTTCAGGGTAACCTCCTAAGTGTTAATCCCAGTGACTTTTTAAATAAATATGTGCTAATTGATTTGAAAGGTGGAGAAAAACAAAGAGACAGAGATTTTCTATCCATTGGTTCATTCCCAGATGACCACAACAGCAGGGGATGGCCCATTGTTAACAGAGATCCGAGTACTTATGCATTAGCTGCTGCCCCCAAGGTGGACATCATCAGGAAACTGGAATCATAAATGAAGCTGGGACTCAAATCCAGGGACTCTGATACAGGATGCAGGTGGCCCAAGCAGAGCCTTAGCCACTGTAACAAATACCTTTCCCATCTCAGTGGTTTGTTGTTGTTGTTTTACAGTATTTTCTTATTTGACTCTCTAAAGTGTGTTGGACATTATTCATCACAACCTACTTGAGTAGAAGTTCTCCCTTCTCCTGGATTCCATTACACCACTCTCTTCTAATTTTTCTCTTACCTTTTCCCCTCTTTTTCATTCTCTTGATGGTGTCTCTTAATCTTCCTGTTTCTTAATGAAGATATTTGCTACACACTCTCTATAGGCAATGTTATCTACTTTGGTGAGTTTTTAAAAAAGTTTACAGCTCAGCAGTGGTAAGTATATTCACATTGCTCTAAAACAGATCCCCATAATTTTTTTTCTTGCAAAGCTTTAACTCCATATCCATTAAATAACAACCACCCATTCTTTGCTCCCCCAGGTCCTGGTGACTATCTTTCTACATTCTGTTTCTATAAAGTGAAACCATTTAGGTATCTCAAATAAGTGAAATTGTACAGTATTTGTCTTTTTTTGTGACTGGCTTCTTTCACTTATATGTATAATGTTCTCAAGGTACAACCATATTGTAGCATTTACCAGGATTTCAGTTCTGAATAATATTACCTCCTAAACACACACACACACACACACACACACACACACACACACTTTGTTTATCCATTCACCCTTTGATGGACACTTCAAAGGTTGCTTCTACCTCTTGGCTATTGTGAATAGTGCTGCCATAAAAATGGGTGTGTAAATGCTTCCTCAAAGCCTTGTTGTTAATTCTTTTCAAAGAAAGATATATACCCTGAAGGAATTGCTGGATCATATGGTAGTTCTATTATTAATATTAATATTTTGAGGATTCACCACACTGCTACTTGGTGGCTTTAACTGCCATGTATGTGCAGCTAGCTCCCAAATCTATATTCCTTCCCCTAATCTGTCTCCTGAAATATATAAAGATATAAGCTCAAAAAGGAAGAAAATATATTTTGTCTTTTTATACTCTGTGTTCCTACAGTGGATTCTAAATAAATTCTTATTTAAAATACTGTCTTTTGAATTCTGAATGTGTCTTCCAAAGGTCTCCTAAGAGAGCTAAGTCCAAATATTGTTTCAGCTGACTATTATGTAATCAGATGAGTCACTGTTTTAAGTTTCTTGATAGTATATACTCTGTAATATATTTATTTGATTCCTTACATTGCCTACCAAATACTTATGAGGCAGTACATTTTGATTAAATTAGGCAATAATCTCAAGTATTTATCAAAACTGAGAGTAGCATTGGAATGTTTGCATAGTTTCTCCTTTCTGCTTCTAAAGGAAAAGAGTGTCAGTGAGGTGCTACTATAGAAATTTATATGATACTATTATAATTTTAGAAATATTTTAGGGCCAGCGCCATGGCACACTAGGCTAATCCTCCGCCTTGCAGCGCCGGCACACCAGGTTCTAGTCCTGGTCGGGGCACCGGATTCTGTCCCAGTTGCCCCTCTTCCAATCCAGCTCTCTGCTGTGGCCAGGGAGTGCAGTGGAGGATGGCCCAAGTACTTGGGTCCTGCACCCCATGGGAGACCAGGATAAGTACCTGGCTCCTGCCATCGGATCAGCGCAGTGCACCAGCCGCGGTGCACCGGCCGCAGTGCACCTGCTGCGGCGGCCATTGGAGGATGAACCAATGGCAAAGGAAGACCTTTCTCTGTCTCTCTCTCTCTCACTGTCCACTCTGCCTGTCAAAAAAATAAATAAATAAAAATAAAAAAAGAAATATTTTAGGACAAATACAGATAAGTGGAATATATTGAATGAACTTTTTTCTGACCATACAACATGAGTAAATTAGAATATGCCAATAAAATTTTTAGAAAACTTTATCAAATAGAACATTTTTACCACCCCTAGAGGAAAAAAGGATTAGGAAAAAAAATATTGTTGGAGGATATGTATAGTCATTATTTTTATTTATCAAATGATAGCAAGTGCTCTGAGTAAAACTTTAAGCAATAATTTGAAATTAAACTTCAGCTCTGATTTATGATGGAAAAGAAAGCTAACTAGCACCAAGGTGACTGAGGGCACAAAATTTAATTATTGCTTAAAGATTATCAGATACTTTCTTTTTCACAAGTGAAGAGAGCTTTAAAATTTGCCAACTCAGGGCCCTGAGAAAATAAGACATTTTCTTTATGGGAAAAAGAAGAAGAAAGGACATTACCAACAATGGAAAAGGCATGCAGAGTAGCAATGGCTCAAAGTGGATCTGGCAGACTATGAACACTAGAATCACCAAGGAAACATGGAACTATGAAATGTCAGAAAGCTGTTGAAATGCCTGATGCTCCAACCATGGCTCAGCTTTTAAAAACCAAATGAAGACTCATGAGACACAAGAAGACTGTAGATGCTTTAATGAATAACCACATACTAGTAGAATTAAGAGAAACAACGATAGCTCAAATCAACACAAACCTAAGTACCTTTTTTTCAGTTTATCTGTTTCAAGTTAAACCAACTCCTTCTAATTTAAAAGATTTCCACAAAATGGTAGAGTTGGTAAATTTTAGAATTTATCAAGCACAACTTAAAAAAAAAAAAAAGAATCACTGGCTGTGAAAAATGACAGTTAAAATGCAGGCTCCAAGGTCCCTCTCAGAAATTCTGATTCCATAGATGCAGGAATCTGCATTTTTCACAGCAATTCAGATTCAAGTGATCCTGAGAACAACTCTGGCAGACTGCTGGAAAGGTGGACATATTTTTTTTTTTTATGGTGAAAAAGCATATATTTAGAATTAGCCAGCTGGACTCCGTTCAGATGATCCCAATTTTGTTGGCAACGTCCAGAGCATCATAGTCAGGAGCCAGCCGCACATTCGCCTTCTTCTCTCCGTCAGGGCTGATCAGGGTGTTGACTTTGGCCACATCAATGTCATAGAGTTTCCTCACAGCTTGTTTGATCTGGTGCTTGTTGGCCTTGACATCCACAATGAACACCAGTGTGTTGTTGTCTTCTATCTTCTTCACGGCCGACTCCGTGGTCAGGGGGAACTTGATGATGGCATAGTGGTCAAGCTTGTTTCTCCTGGGGGCACTCTTCCGAGGGTATTTGGGCTGCCGTCGGAGGCGTAGTGTCTTGGGCCGCCGGAAGGTGGGGGACGTGCGGATCTTCTTCTTCTTGTGGCTGTGGACACCTTTCAGCACTGCCTTCTTGGCCTTCAAGGCCTTCGCTTTGGCTTTGACTTTAGGAGGGGCAGGAGCTTCCTTCTTCGCCTTCGGCGCCATCTTGGTGAAAAGGTGGAAAGGTGGACATATTAAATAAGCTCTTCTCTAATCTCAGGTTCAGTCTCACAAGGATAGTTAATAAACTTTACTGGAAGGATGGATGTCATTTCCCATGAACCATCACTTAAGACCTTGTTTTTTTTAAAGGTGGAAAGGCACACTGAGTAGATAAGCATTCCTATAAAATAAGTCCAGTGAATTTGGGCACACTGATTAAATGCAGCAGATATAGTCTGGGTCTCTGAGAGAAGCTAACCAATAAGTTCAAAGGAAGAGGAAAGAAGGATGCATTTTAAGCCCTGGCAAACAAAATAATCTTGTTCTTGGAATAGATTAATGAGCATCCAGGTAATAAAGCAAATATACAATATGCTAATTGTTGAATGCAGGTGGTAAGTATATGGGTGTTGACTATTTAATGTTTTCAACTTTTCTGTATGTATGTACCCATTTCCCCAATTCATTTTGAAGTTTTAGGCCAGCGCCGCAGCTCACTAGGCTAATCCTCCACCTTGCGGCGCTGGCACACCAGGTTCTAGTCCTGGTCGGGGCGCTGGATTCTGTCCTGGTTGCTCCTCTTCCAGGCCAGCTCTCTGCTGTGGCCAGGGAGTGCAGTGGAGGATGGCCCAAGTGCTTGGGCCCTGCACCCCATGGAAGACCAGAAGCACCTGGTTCCTGCCTTCGGATCCGCGTGGTGCGCCGGCTGTGGCTGCCGTGGCGGCCATTGGAGGGTGAACCAACGGCAACAGGAAAACCTTTCTCACTGTCTTTCTCATTGTCTAACTCTGCCTGTCCAAAAAAAAAAAAGTTTTACCTATTTATTGATTTGAAAGGCAGAGAGAGAGAGAGAGAGAGAGAGAGAGAGAGAGAGAAGAGAGACCTGCCATCCACTGGTTCATGCCCCAAATGCCCATAACAGCCAAGGCTGGGCCAGTCCAAAATCAGGAGCCAGAACTCCAGGTTCTTCCATGGGAGTGACAGGAACCCAAACACTTGGACCATCACCTGCTGCCTCCCAGCTGCATTAACTGGATTGGAAGTAGAGACAGGACTTGATCCCAGGCACTCCAATATGGATTACAGTCATCCCAAGTAGTGACTCAACCCAGTCTTCCACGAAGCCTATGTCTCCCAGTTCCTGAAACAAATTCTGGGACGCTGCATGTATGTACCCAGTTCCCCAGTTCTTGAAATAATTTCTATCTATTGCTCTCTCTCTCTCTCTCTCTCTCTCTCTCTAAGATTTATTCACTTATTTAGGCAGAGCTAGAGAGAGAGGTCGATACAGAGAACGGGACTGCTTTGGTTCATTCCCCAAATGGTCCAGGCTGAAACCAGGAGCTTGGAACTCCATGTTGGTCTCCCCTGTGGGTGCAGGGTCCCAAGCATTCAGGCCATGTTCTGCTACTTTCCTAAGCACATTCACAGGGAGCTAGGTTGGAAGCAGAACAGCTAGGACTCAAACTGGTGCTCTGATATGGGATCCCAAACCACTTTCCTTTTTAAGATTTATTTATTTGAAAGGCAGAAAGAGGGAGAGACAGCACACATAAAATTTTAGAGTGATCTTTTTAGATTTTATTTATTTATTTGAGAGGTAGTGTTACCAGAGAAGGCAGGGTTCTTGTCTTTGCGCAAGAAAGAATTCAGGCGTGAGACAGAGAGTAAGTGGAAAGCAAAATAGCAAGATTATTAGGGTAGGAACATCGGTAAAAACCGGATGGGCACCTCTCCAGACAGAACCTGAGAGAGAGTGTCCCAGTCGCTCAGAATGGAGGAGATCGAGATTACATGGTTGAGTGGAGAGATCACACCTGGGCAGGCCAGGCGGGTGGCTCAGCAGAGAGGCAGAGGGCTGAGCACGGAGTCTGGTTGAGGCCAGGATTTTTAAGGGGATGGGTCTTGCCTTCCCTTCCCCCTCTCCTTTTCCTCCTCCTGAACAAAGGAATTCTTTGGATGTAAATACAAAAAATTCCTTTCTGAGTTTTCCTCCTGAAGTTATCAGACAGGGGGAAGCCTGGCTGGCGTCGCCCCACCTTAGAGGAGCCCTAGAGGAAGGATGGTTTTTGGGTAGAAGGGGCAGGACGTTTGAATTGCAGATACTGAGCTGCATCTGGAAGGTCATAGGGATGACTTTGAGATGAGGATGCTGGACCTAGATATCAACTCCTTAGGCCTTTGTCACACACACATAAGCTCATTTCTGACTTCCTACCTAACAGTAGAGTTACAGACAGTGAGAGGGAGAGACAGAGAGAAAGGTCTTCCATCTGCTGCTTCACTCCACAATTGGCCACAACGGCCGGAGCTGTGCTGGTCTGAAGCTGGGAGCCAGAAACTTCTTCCGGGTTGCCCATGTGGGTGCAGGGGCCCAGGAACTTAGGCTCTCTTCTACTGCTTTCCCAGGACTTAGCAGAGAGCTGGATAGGAAGAGGTACAGCCAGGACTCGAACTGGCATTCATATGGGATGCTGGCGCCGCAAGCAGTTTAACAGCCCTGACCCTAGAATGATTTTTTTTTAATTCCCCCTTTTTCTTTAGCCCCACTACAACCATTTAGCTGCTCTGAAGTGTGTTTTTATTCAAAATCTAGTATGTATTTCCAATTGTGTTTCTTTCCCTGCTCACAGCTTGTAATAGGGGAATTTTAATCCCCTCATGTCTGTACTACCCCCCCAAAAGATAAATAAAACAAAAATCAAAACACAAAAAAACCTATCTTCTTGCTATCAGTTCTCTATTCTCTGTAATCCCCATGTCCCACATTGCCAAGTCAACACTCCTAAAACCTGTTTCAATGAAATCACTCTGCTCTTTAAAAACCTCAGTGGTACCTTATTACCTGTTAATCCAGACACAACTTGAAATGCCCTCCCCACCCCTTTACTATAGAAATTCTTATTCTTTAAATGAGGGTTCAAGTTGCCATTGTTTAGCACAGGAATTTGCGATTCCATAGAAGTGCAGTCTCCCTTTGCAGCTAACTATATCTTGATCAAATAAAAAAAAAAAATCTGAGGAGTCCTAAATTTAATTACAAAGGTCAGAGGGTGGAGAGGCAGAAGCGATAAGGAAAGGTAATCAGTTGACAGGCAGGCCAAAACTAACAGAAGACTTCCATGTTGGCTAATCCCCAGGTGCCTGTGGGCTACTGTAGACCACCTGGATAACTCAACCAAACCAATCCAAGAGCAACAAGATCTTTTCTTTACTGACCATCCTCCTAGTCCTAAACTTTCTCCTGTTGGCATTATACTACCCCTTAACTTTAGCTATAGTGAGTTCAATATAAAGAATTTGTGCTTGCATCCCTTACACTTTCGTTATAAAAATGCTATTGGCTCTTATGTTTGGTGGACATATTTCCAGCTAGTATCTAGCCTTGCTGCTGGTAGGTGCAGAACTCGGTCCCAGGATCTGGTACTTTTCTGGATAGCATCTCTAACTGACACAGGGAGGCAGAATCACCTGGGGGTAGTTTCTATTATCTCAAAGCCTAAAGGATATGGGTTTGATTCTTCTTGCTCTGGAGATAAAAAGGTCCCCTGCCTGGACCAGAATCAAATCAGTTTAGGGGCCAACCGCCAAGCTAAATTGACCTCTCATTATATGCTCACCACAATAAATTAACATGCTAAACAGCACACCCATCAGCTGCCATGACAGGAAAAACCAACCATATAAGGAGTGAAAAGGGTTACTAGCTAGCCATAATCCTCCTCCTCTTTATTAGAATGTACTGCCTCTTCCATTAAACAGTCATATAATGTTAAACACAACTCAGAGACAGGGTCATTCCCCTCCTAGTGACTGTGGACTCTGACCAGGGAGTGTGTACTTTTGTTCTCTCAATTAAACACTTGCTGCTTGTTATCCTTGACTTGCTCAAGAATTCTTTCTAAACCCAGGTGCTGGGCAGCTAATACTGGTTGTCTTGGGCCATTCATAAAGGCTCAATAAACTGTAATGCAGAGAACCCCTACTCTCAAGAATTTTGGTACAATTTGACAATTGTATTCATAGTCTCATTTTTAATCATCACAGACCCCCCAACTACCTAGTGCATTTCTGTGTATAGCATGTCCCTTACTAGATAGAAGTTTCCTGGGTTAAGGGTCTTATCTTGGGCTATTCCACACAGCTCCCAAGTCCACTGCTGACCTACAGATTCTAAAAACAACCACCTTTAAGTGGAGAGCAAGTATTCAAGATGCAATATTAAGCAAATGTTAGAACATTTCCAATATCTGGGTTAAAAACACATGTATACAATGAAAAGAAATAAAAGCCCTAAGGATTGATTGTAATCAAGGGAAAAGATAACCCAGGCACTGAGCAAACTCTTGAAGAGACTTACCTTGAGGCTGCAAAAGAAATCAAAAGAGTGCCAGGAATAGAAAGTGTACCTTAGTCTGTCTACATTAATACAAAGCTTAAGTAAACAGTATCTCAAATTTGAAGCCAAGGATTATAGTTTTGCTTGAATGGTCAGACATTTCCTTAAAAAAAAAAATCTCCATACTTTCCCCTCAAAAGAAAAAAAAAAAGGCCACAATTACTTTCTAAATCCTAAATGTTAATAACAGTAATAGCTAATGGTACTCAGACTGTTACATAGGGTGTGTGTCGCTCCCCCTCTTCGTGGAGGAACGACACAGGACCCTGCGCTGTTCTTTCGTCTGCTCGGCCCTCCCCGGGTTTGCTGCTGGTTCTTCCCGGGTTGGCTACTATCCCTTCCACCTCCGTGGAAGGGCAGTTCCCCCTGGCCGCATTCCCCACTTCCGCAGGGGAGCGGCACACCGCCGGCCGGCTTTCTCGGGGGCTGCACGGGTTCCCTTAGATGTTCCCCATAGATGTTCCTGGTGCATGCCGTCTCTCTCCTCCTTTATAGTCCTCCTCCGCCAATCCTAACTCGGCTGCCCACACGCCGAGTACGCTGCTCTCCAATCAGGAGCAAGTCCTACAGTTAATTGGTTGAACTGGAGGCAGCTGTGCGGAAG